GTAGGAATTAAGGAGAATAAAATAAAAGCCTTAATACGAGCAGAAAAAGAAGGCAATAAAAGTAAAGTTAAAAGAGAGAAAAAGGAGTTCACTGTAATGGAATACAGGGCTCAGTTAAGTAACATTTACAGAAAAATAGGAATAGAAAGCAACAAGAAAATAGCATATAAGAGAAACACGACAATATTTCAAATGCTAAGAAACGACAAAACACCCGTTGACAGGAGGCTGATCCCAGGTGTATACAGAATACCGTTGTATGATAGGAGGCTAAATAAGGAGTTATATTATATAGGAGCCACTAAAAGATCATTAAATGAAAGATTGAAGGAGCACAAAAAGAATGTAAGCTTTAAACAACCAGTCACGGCTTTGGCCAATTACGCGATAGCAGATCCAACAGAGATCGACATCAAATGGAGCAAGGCAGATGTCATACAAAAAGTGAAAAATATAAAACATCTAAAATATGCAGAAGCCTGGCACATTTACAAGAGCAAAGAAAAAGGGCGTAATATAAATTTCCGTGAATCGAACAAAATAGCGTCGGCATGGAAAGCGGCAACTTTAAAATTATAAAATTATATTTATGAGCATGCGCAATCGAGAAGAACGTGCAGTTTGGAATCTCCGTTATGCAAATTTGAAATATATTTCGATTGATAATTCGATCCTGATGAAGGTTTGTGAATCAGACCGAAAACGTTCGACAGATGTAAACTAGACTGCATTTTAAAGGTATAGTGAATTTTTGTTAAATAGTAATGCAGTTAGAGATAGAATGAATAGAATGTACAACTTCTGTCTACTTTATGAAATTTTCCCTGCTAAATGGAAAATAGCTAAAATTGTCCCTGTCCCAAAGCCTTGACACTCCAATCCAGGACCATCTCCCTTTTGCCTGTTTTCAGCAAGGTACTTGAACAGCTGATAACTGATCGACTCACATGGCACATGGAAGTTAATCACCTTCTCGAAGACACTCGGTACGGCTTTAGCAGCAATGCTCCTCCTCCAATGCAATCCACCACACAGTACAAAATGTCAATCACCTACTCAATACTCAGAAATATGTCTTGCCATCAGCCTTGACATCACAAAAGCTTTTGATAGTGCCTGGTGTCCTTTTATACTATACCAGCTAAAAAAAGACAGACTGCCCTGCCAACGTATATAACCTTCTAAAGCAGTGTTTTTCAACCTTCTTGAATACGCAACCCCTTTACAAGTTAAAAAATTCTGGCTACCCCAGGGCCATATTTAAACTATATCAGTGATTTTAAAAACTACGTATTTAATTTTCTTTCTTTAAATATTGATCGAAAAACCAATTGTACTATAAAATAAACAGGCACAGCCTTCTCACTGAAATTCTAGTTTTTTTTTTATTGTAGTGTAGGACCTACAAACATTTGTCCTCTTCTTTCACCCGCAACCCCCGTGTAAGGCTTTGTGACCCCCATGGAGGTCGCGACCCACAGGTTGAAAAACACTGTTCTAAAGGACTACCTTCGCAACTGCAAAGCTTACCTCCAGCATGGCACCCATGTCATTAACAGAAATGTTGTCTGCAGCTGTCCACAGGGGTCGGTCTGTAGACCCCTTCTGTGGAATCTCACTTTTAACAACTTTCTCGCATGGGACTTCAGTCAGGACAATGCTACAGCTTATGCTAACAATGTCCTGATTATCATTGGCAGTAAATCTCATGCCAACCTTGAAAATAGAGGAACCTACACACACTCAAAGATCTACAACTAGAACCAAATCCACACTCTCCTTCAATCCTGAAAAGACCAAAGCCATTGTGTTCAACAAGCCTGGCAACCCAAACTTGTACCTGCATGTCCCAACCATTAGAATTAATAACAAATCTATATAAATAGACAAAACTATCAACTATCTTGGTGTTCTGTTGGATCGACTAATTTGGGATGAGCACATAAAGATCATTTACAAGTGAACCAGTCGTATCTTCCATTCCTTTGCAAAAGTGGAAAGGAAAAACTGGAGGCTTAACTCCAATGCACTCATCATCATCTACATCACATTTATATTCCAATTATCACATATGCTTGTGGCAGTTGGGGATGGGCTGCACAAAAAGTGCATCTTAAAAGAAAGCTTATCTCCTCCCAATGCAAGGCTCTTCTTTTAATTTCCCAGGCATATAGGACAACACCAAATAGCAGCCTCCAAGTAATTACATGCAAACCTCCAATTATAGACATCATTAATCTTTACTACAACCTGTGGAATTTCAAAAGAGTATATGACATTACCATTTACTCTGATGATATATCCACCAGTATATTTGAAAAGCATACTTCTTTAACTTGTACCTCTCCTCCCTCCATTAATAACCATATGAATCATACCCACCTCCCAACACTGATGTCCATATCTTCACTGATAGATCAAAGTTTGATGACGGCATTGGCTGTGCTTTTGTTGTTTACCTGGGTGATCTCAAAATACACAACAAACAGTTTAAGCTGGCTAACCACTGTACTGTCTTCCAGGCAGAACTTGTGGCTGTTGAAAGGGCCTTAAATTGGACAGTACGACATCACAATCAGGCAACTATCACCATTGTCACCAACTATCTCTCAGCCATTTCACGTATCAATAGCAGAAATCAACATCCAATAGCAATAAACATGAACCATTTGTAGAATTTTGCCGGATGATAATTTAATTTAATCAAAAAAGACACAGTCTGTCCAAAAAATATTTTTTGAAGCCACCATTTATTGTGTTTTTTTTTTAAGGAATGTTTTAACCTGACGACCTAGTCTTTGAACATTATGCTACACGGGGAAACAGTTGCAGTCAGCTGTTGAACACAGTGGACTGTCTTCAAGTTTCATAGCTAAATGTTGAGGAACACATTGAACATTTCCTACATCACTAAGCAATCCGTACAGCATGTACTGTTATGTTCCCATAATGCTTTAATGAACAAATAAATGCTTTTTCAACGTGTTTGTTTCTTTGCTTGCAATGCCATTTACCCCATAGTGGACAATTTTGGAACAAATTTTTTCCTTGCAAAATCCCTTTCTGCATCCTTTGAACAGTGTGCACACAAATTTAGGCATTAATCAGTTTATTGGTTGTAGCTACATCATCTTCCAAACACAACAACTTTCATTATGATCTCCCAATACACAGAGCTTAACCTTCTAACATCCTGAACACATTATATTCAATTCATATTGTAGTAATAAGTCAGAATAGCTATAATCAAATTGGGATATCACATAAGCAAATTAAACTACCCGTATGGTAAGATACAATCTTTGTTCCTATATCTTTGTTCAATCTATCCTATATATAAACATGAATATCAATAACAAGCTAACAACTACAAGATTATATCTGGCAACACTGACATTTGTTTATGTAATAGTCAACTCTGTAATCATTCCTGGTCACAAGGTGCAAATTTCAATCTTTTTACATCAACATATTGAAGATTTAGTGCATGTTTTGAATAGTGGTTACAGAAGAATGGAGATAAGTATCAAACAGTAATATTCAGTGAAGTTTTATATGAAATTGAAAGAGTACAACTGAATCTTACAATGCATTAGAATGTCCTATCATATATAGTTTTGTCATATGCTTATTGGCATAAAATCTTTATAATGGCAAGAATTAGTCTGGTCAAGATTGGGATGTTGTTCGACATTTGGTCATAATGTTGAAGGTGCACAGACTTGTTAAAAAAGACACAGTCTTTTTTAACAAGTTTTTAACAGACTTGTTAAAAAAGACTGTGTCTTTTTTAACAAGTCTGTGCAACCCAAACTTGTACCTGCATGTCCCAACCATTAGAATTAATAACAAATCTATATAAATAGACAAAACTATCAACTATCTTGGTGTTCTGTTGGATCGACTAATTTGGGATGAGCACATAAAGATCATTTACAAGTGAACCAGTCGTATCTTCCACTCCTTTGCAAAAGTGGAAAGGAGATCAATGAAACTGTAAGATCAAGGAAACTGTAAGATCAATGAATGACAATTAGCTAATTAGCTAAATTAGCTAACTAATTAGTCATCATTTTGAAATTATAAGCTGTCATTAAAAATCAAAGATTATTATTTTGAAACCAAAATCATCCAAAAAGCTGTAAAAGTTGTGCAATAGCTTGAATGAAAATGACTTTCAGGAATGGTATGAAGCATGGAAGAAAAATGGAATAACTGCATTATGTCAGAAGGGACTTACTTTGAAAGAAATTAGCATTAAAATGTAAAAACTTTGAATAATTGATTTGTAATAAAATTAGTCTCATTACTTTTCAATCAGACCTCATACACTTTTCTGCTAGTAAACTTTTGTCTTAGTAATGCTGATCTTGTTTTCACTTTGCCACACTGTAATTAATCTTAAGCATGGTACTCACATGCATAAATGGATGACAAAAACGGTTGCCGTTCCGTCATCTTTCCATGTTGCATGTACTCACATGCGGAAAGTATCCTACAATTGAAACGTGTACCATCTGCCAACCATAAATATAAACACACTACTACAGTAGGTAGGCCATGTGCCAGTAGTCAAAAATGATACCTACTGGGATTGCTTTGTTATATCAATTAAACTTTTTAAGTTTGCCTATGATCTTATTGCAAATAAAAAAGCTCATAAACAAAGAATCTGGATAGGAAAAATATTCTAAATTGTAGAAAGTTAGGAATATTGAATACTTTCGTCACCAAATTAAGATTATGCCATTCTCAATACTTTACGCAGTAAGTACGTCTATTTGACATTAATATTTAAATGATAGTAAAATAATGTATAAATGAAATGTATTAGCATATTAGTGCATAAATAAAGCTTTTTAGTCTTGTTGACCACCATAGTTCAAATGCTATTGTACCACGTGATCTTTATGACGAAATTGTGAAACGGCCTTCCTATTAGTCTAATTTTTGCCATTCCGCTTTCCACCACAACAAAAGTTAAAAATTTTCAACTTATATTCTGTCAGCTTCGACAGCAAAAGCGAAGTCATTTTGCCATTCTGTCGACAGTTTCCGTTATCCATTCCCACGTGTGAGTACCAGGCTTTAGAGTGAGAAAAGGCTATTTTGTAAGAATTCTTATTTTTTCCCATATAAGATATATTATGTTAACTGGGTCAGTCTTAAGAAATATTGTTAATTATATGCTGTTACACAAACAAAACTATAAATAAAATGTTTGATTCTAAAGATGAGAAAACTTGTTCATCAAAAGTGACTAAATAAAATCACAAACATCTCAAAAGCATATTACAATACTCGCATTCACTTAATACTGATAAAAACTACCAATTTTATATATATTGAACAGACACATTTATGAGAAGTGTTAATTTCATTATTTCATCTTTATATAAGTAGGGGGTGAACAAACAGTTAACAATTTTATGTAAATTACCTTCGTAACAGAATCATTCACATTAATGGCAGGCACTTTAAGTCTTCCTTCTTTCAACATGCGATATAAATTATGCACACCAGTTGTAGTTTCCTCTGATATTCCCTTAATTTCTGAAAAATAAAAATCATTTTTGACTATGAAATTTGATTTTGATTTGATTTACAAAATGTCTTTAACTTAAAAAACTGATCATAAAGAACCCCATTCATTTCTTTCAATTAAAAAGTTCTAAAGAAAATAAACTTATACTTATGGTCATTTTCATTAACTTTTCTTAAAACTTACTTATGTGAAAGCCTATTTAACAACAAAAAGTGTTTGATCAAATTTCATTAAATTTAACAAAGTGTTAGTTAAATTAATCTGATTTTGAAGTAATTTGTTGTTCTAATATCAAGAGAGCAGAATGCAGATTAGAATGTATAAGTCTGCAATTTGAAAATTGCTGACCTATACTTTCCCATTGTTGTCTGTCCATCCATCCCTGCTTAATCTTGAGAATGGAGTAAGATGGAAATTAAGACCAGATATGGAGTAGTTTAGAGCAGAAGGTCCCAATTAACTATATCCGAACCTCCAGTCTGAACTGGAAATCATATTTTAATTTTAAAAAATCACATGATTAAAAATTGCAGCTTGGCATTGTGACGTCACAATCATTTTTTGGTTTTCATTTTTATGCAGACTTGTTGTATATAGTATAAAATAAACTCAATTTAGAAAACTGGAACGAAGTTCCACAATAAAAATTCAATAGCTTAAAATAGGTTATTTTGTCCTTTAAAATGCTTAGAATCGAATATTTTTAACTATTGCATGTTTAATTTTACAAACTTTTATTTTAAAATGAAATATTTAAAAGTTAGGTAATCATTGGATTACTTTTCCTCATCAGTTATAAAGTTTGTTATAATACTAACCAAATTTTGTTTTATTTATAGTATGATCTATTCCAATTTTAATAAAATTTAAAAATAATAAATCAATTTTTATTACAGTAAATATTACCTGATAAGTATTGTGGATATTTAGTGTGAACTAAATTTGTAAGATCACCTCCGTCATCGAGAATCATATTCAGCGGTTGTCCATTTGGAAAAACTAAAGTCTAAAGAATAAAATGTTATAATTTATAATTATGATGTGAACTAAAATTTATGAAATTTCATAAATTTTAGTTCACATCATAATTATGAATTGATATGATGTGTGGTTTTTAACAGCCATTGTTTTGTATTTCAGTATGAGAATTATATTCATATAACATCTTAGTTATTTTCTTCTATATTAATTTTAACCAAATTTACTTTAAGAAAAATATATCTTTTTGAATATTTTGCTTGTAACATTCATGTTAAAATATTCAAATTAAATTTTCAGTAGAAAAAAAAAATACAGTCAAAATAACATTCAATAACCAAACTGATAAAACATAAGTTTAAAAACTAATTTTAAATAATACTAATTGTTTTGTAAAAATATAATTGAGATTTTGTACAGCACTTAGAAATGGAAAATTGGAACTTATTTAACTTTTAAAATCTTTTTGCCTCTTGGACATTAAATATTATGGCAAGCCCATCATAGATTCGACTGGGCCTGCACCAGAAGATCAGGAAGAATGAATTCTGATGTATCTAAATTGACTCATCTGTGAAAATTGTGATTTTGACTGAAGTCTGAGCCTGTGGCAGATGGATGCCTTTGTTGTCCTTGATAATCCGGTAGTCTAATTTAATTAAGTTGTACTAAATTTCCATCATCATTTAACAAATTGCTTTAATAATATAATAAATTAATCATTAGGTCTAATCACCAACCATATGCCGAAAATCTATCAAGCTAGTTTTAAGGCTAAATTACTAAATAAATTACGTAACCAATTTGGCTCTAGAGGTAAGCGTTAGGCGCCATCTCTTATTAATATTAATAATTATAAATAAATTAATTAATTTAAATAATTTAGAACCGCTGGGAGAAAAAAAAATCTGCCCGGAGCGGGACTCAAACCCACAACTCCTGCTTACCGTGCAGATGCGTTGCCAGTTACGCTATCCGGACCTCCAGTCCGATCTCCTCTTCCAGCGTATAACTATGTAACCATCAATGGTTATTACAACGCCAGCTGGGGACACATTCAGTGCCCACATCCTACAAGGCACTCAACCGGCCATCGCAAGCCCCGGCAAGGCGTAATATATACAAACATCGCTAAACCCAATATAATATAGCTAAACACCAACCATATGCAACCAACAAAATGGTGTTTAGCTATATTATATCGGGTTTAGCGATGTTAGTATATTAGGTCTAATGTTTTTAAACAAAATAAAACTAACTATATCCAGACAAAGACAGATGCATTCCAAATCCAGTGCAGTTTTCTTTAAACATAAACAAACTGGTTTACTAATTGAATTCTGTGAAAAATATACTGATGTTAAGATCAAGGGACCACTATTTAAACATTCGTCTGCAGTATACATGTGGACAAATGTGTTCCTGACTATACCAACAAAACTCGAGAGATCAATTGATGTATTGGAAAACTTTGACAGAATAAATTAATAATTGAAGAACATTTGTAAGTAGTCAAGTCAAAACATTAGTTTTGTTTTAATTATAGCTATAATTTAGTTTAGGGGCATTTTGATTTGTTTAAAGATGGAAGCTTTTGCATCTAATTCAAAAAGAGAAAAGTTTTATGACTCACTCAAAACACCATCACCAATCTAAAGTGGCATCTCAGATTAAACAATCTCCAAAGGTATTAAATAGTAGTCACTTAATTGCATTGTTACATATTTCAAAAATCAGCAAATAAATTTATGGAAAGATTGGACTGACTCATGTCAAAAAGTACTTTTAATTCTTCAGAATCTGCTAACAACTATGTAAATGGGATAGAGTGGCACATGCTAATGTAATGTCATACATGAGACCTAAGACAACAGAGAAGCCAAAAGACTGATGAGGTAACACTACCAAGTGCAAGGTAGAGTGAGGTGATACTTCCAAGTGCGAGGCCTAGCAAATCAAAGAGATTGAATTCTTTTGCCATTCCTGGTGTGGCGGTTAGGTGACTTAGAGCCTAAGTGTTTTATAAGTGATTTGGTTTTGAGCTATTTTTGTCTCATGACTCCTTCATGTGAACAGCAACAGGCACTGATGGATATTTGTTTCCATTATGGAGAAGTACAGCTTTCAAACTAAGTTTCAAAAAGTCTACAACCTCCATTCCTCTGTTGTGTATATGTCCAAGAGCTTCCATTAGAGAAATGATATCATTTCAAAAAACTATCATTATATTGAGAAAATAAAAGAAGTTCATCCTGATGGTTGTGGAAAAACATACTTTAGTTCTCTGCTGCAGAAGATTCCAGTCTTTCATTTGTGAAGGTTACAGTTTGACTTGTCTTTCTGAGAAATTCAAGTCACCACCTTGCATAATGAAATTATCTTGTTTATCTGTATGAGGTTCTGTGGAAGGTTCTCTTGCTTCAATGTTGGATCTCTCATCAACTCTTCTTGTACATGGTTTGAATAATCATCATCCCCACCAGAATCAGCATCAATACAATTCTCACATTTTCTGATGGTCTTGGAACAGATGGTCTTCATTATATGTTTAGACCAGGAGTCACAAACTGGCAGCCCATGGTCCAGATTTTTAATGAAAAGGAAATCTTACACACAGCATTACTACAGTATATTGAGGACACAGAATGTGAAAAAAAAACTGGGGTTGATTACAGATCATTTACAAGAAAGGGTCCATAGATTTACATGTATGCCACTAGCTAAACAACTGAAATTAGATGAGATAATCTAAAGACATCTGGTGATTTGACTGTTTGCTTGTGCAAAAAATGCATAAGCAGGGACAACAACTAAGACCCATATTAGACAAGGTCAAGTCTCCTACCCACAAGTTGAAGCATGCAGTACACAGCTTACTCAGCACAAATGGTATCAATGTTATGCTTGCTTTGTTTCACCTCCTGTTTCCAATTGGATACCACTGTCTAACTACAAAAAAAAAAACCCCATGGATAGCCCATTGTCTGGTGACCTATGTGAAATGGTTATATGACAATTAGAAGAGAGGGTTCTTCCTAAATTCCTGCCACAAATCACTATTTACATAAGATACATTGATGACATTTGCATTATTTGGACAGTCAAGCCTGATGTCAATGATTTTATCCGCGCAATGAATGACAACCAGTACGGACTAATTCTGGAGGAAGACCAAATTGGAGAGAACAGTATTTATCTTTTAGATATAGACTTTTCTTTAAATGTTAAGTGTTTTGACATAAACATCTTTACCGCAACACCGGAGAATAGTAATATAACTCTTTCAAACCTGTTACCGGTGCGTCTACTAACTCTTAACGATCCAAACGAAACCAAAACAAACATTTTCGAACCTGTAACGGTTCTTCCTCAGGCTTTTTCGAATTTCTGATGGAAAATGCAGCTCGTAAAAACTTTAAATTCGAAATACGTAAGTTCGAATGCACGTTTCCCGTTATGAATGGTAATTTATGATAATCCGTTTTGGAGTCGACTGCGCATGACATACAACGACGGAAACGGGAAACGTGCATTCGAACTTACGTATTTCGAATTTAAAGTTTTTACGAGCTGCATTTTCCATCAGAAATTTGAAAAAGCCTGAGGAAGAACCGTTACAGGTTCGAAAACGTTTGTTTTGGTTTCGTTTGGATCGTTAAGAGTTAGTAGACGCACCAGTAACAGGTTTGAAAGAGTTATGTTTTGACATAAAGATCTATTACAAACCAGACTTTATTCCATCATACATATTGACCAACTCTAACAATCCATTTAACTACAATGTAGCAGCCTTCACAGCACTTATGAAGAGAGCCAATTCTCATTGCAGTATTACAGATGATACTAATAAGGAGATGGGTTGAACTGCAGACATCACTACTATGCATGGTTACTCCAAAGGCTTCACCTATAAATTAGCCCATAGACAAGAAACAAAAAGAAACCACCAGACAGCACACCCAAAAGGTGCTCCTGTAGATAACATGGCACTATGAAAAACTGGATCTTGCCATAATGAGGTGGCTTACAGTCATCATATGCATAATATATATAAGGAAATAGCATCGTATACAGATACAAAATTAACATACAGATGTAGTCGCCACGTGTTTAAAATGCTCAGAAATGAAAACGGCTTGAATGACTACAACAAATCACCAGGCATATATAAGATACTTCTCAGAAATGAAATGTTCCAGAGAGACTTAATTTCAATAGGTTTGACTGTAAAGTCCCTTATAAAGCACTTTACCAAACAATCTGATATAGATAAAGACAAGCAAACCACTGCTCTCTTGATATATGCGGGGTAGGATGAAATTAAACCTGATTTACAATGGGCTATATTAATTCAAACAACAATAAACATGGACCATGTCAAAGTACTGAAAGTGCTAGAGATTTTAAAAACAGAAAAACAATGAAAATGTATAAATTTTAAAGAGAGGCACATTTCACAAGAATGTTGGATCCTGTTTGATACATCATTATGAAAACCTTTTTATAATTTCTACACTTGGATGCATTGTATTAGATCAGTGGTTCCCAATTAGTGGTACGCGTACCCCTGGGGGTACGCGAAATTGCATGAAGGGGTACGCGCGGCAATCTAAAATCGGTCGATTTAAAATTTAAATGCATGAAATAAAGCAATCAAAAAAATAACACAGGTCTTCAAAAAAACTTTTTTTACAGCTGCATGGAATATTTTTGCTGAATTATATGTTTTAAAGATCACAGATTCTAAAACTAACATCCCTTACATCCAATCATGTAAAGGTTTTTGCAAAATAAAAACAAATTTTTGATAAAAACTCTTATAATATATTTAGTTCATTATAATAAATATTTTCTTACAACTAATCAACAAATTGTTTCTGATATTTATACACAATTTTAGGTCTACTCTCTTTTCTTACGAAACTTTTTCTTCTTCTTTTTGATGCTTCTCCAAACTCGTTTCCAATTTCCTTCTCTGGTTTCTGGATTGAGCATCCAACAGTAGTCAGCTAATGTATTGACATCCAATTTTCCTTTTCAGGCCTCTCGATATTACGGACATCCTGGTGAAATCTTTCACCCTGTTCTTCATTGTAGGCTCCCAAGTTTTCGGGAAAATAGTCAATATGGGAGTGTAAGAAATGAACTTTTAAGCTATCTCGCATCCTCGAAATCCATACGCTGCTGCCAGCATGCTTTGTACAGTACAATGGTTTTGTAGTCAGGGTCCTTAGTATTCCCCAAAAACTTATGCACTACATTTTCGTTTTCTCCTATTGTTTCCAGAAATCTGCTTTGTCTCCATCTCCAAGTTTCAATTTCAAATATGCAAATTAAACTTTCTTCACAAACTCACTTATGTTTGACTTTTCACTGTGTATTCACCACAAACATAACAGAAGCTGTCGGGAGAAATTACACAACCTCTGCCAGTCATATTCCCGAAATAAAAATACAAGCACAGTAGCATTCGAATGCTGGATATAAACTGAGGGTGGCATTAGATGACCAGCGAGATACTGAACTTATTTAGCTTGTTGAAACACGATCTAATCCAACAGCGAGTTGTTTATATTTATTCCTAGTATCCCAGAAAACATGTCGAAACATGCTCAACCTCACCAATAATATTACTCACTATCAACTTTTAACCTGTTTCTATACGATCATGCGACCTTCCTCCTAACGCTAAAACTACTTAACCCAGTTCCCCCTACCACTACTCTCTTCAATCATTAACATTTTTATTTATTTATTACCAAGTCCAGTTATAATTGATAGAATTAATGTGAGAAGTCTTCGTTTTAAGGCTATTTTTTAAATAAAAAGAAAAGAATAGTAAATTTTACGTTAACTGGGAATTTTACGCTAAATACAAACAAAAACTTGAGTGTAACAAATAAATTGACGAGATGGAATTTTTTTCATATTTTTTTTTTGTTTTTACCAAGTTGAAATCTGTAAGAAAATGTATAAAAATCCTATGCAGTTTTTTACTTGCAGACCTGTGTAATGGGTAGACCATCAAAAATTCAGAAATTTACAACATGATGTCGAATGCGCAAATTCGTTTATTTATAACTTAAAATATTCTCGAAATTTCATCAAAAAAGTGCATTTGTGACGATACCTAAATGAAATTCTTACGCAAGAAACAAAAATTGTACAATTATTATTATTATCGTGTCAGCGAAGCGGCAATAAAATATTTACTATCATTTTGCACAACATACTTCTGCGAGAGCAGATTTTCGGCCGTGACAAACATGAATCGTCACCGACTTTGACTCGAAGATGACTCAAAACTGAAGCTGACCAAAAACCAACCAGATTTTACAAAGTTGCGCAAAGAAAATCGTGCACATTTGTCGCATTAAAATTAAATAACCATATGTTATTTTCATTATTATTAGAATTGTATTTATATTTTAAAGGTAATAAATGTAAGAAAAACTTATTTATCACTAGCTGTCTACCCACGGCTTCGCCCGCGTTATATCGAGTTTTCTCGTGGGAGTAAGATATTTTCTCGTAGTAAAATGTAACCTATGTCCATCTCCAACGTGTAAGCTATCTCCGTGCCATATTTTATTAAAACCTGTTCGGCGGTTTAGACGTGAAAAGGTAACAGACAGACAAACAGAATTATCTTCGAATTTATATTAGTATAGATTAATATGAATTTCTGCTATAAGGGGTACGCGAGTTTGAGCTCTTTTTTGAAGTGGTACGCAGGAAAAAGTATTTGGGAACCACTGTATTAGATGATTTTAGAGAATTTTAAATTTTTGTATAAGCTCTTCTGTGCCTGGTACATTTGAACACCAGAACATTAGACATTCCATCTATTTGAAATTTGTGACCTGAAGCAGATCTAAGAAGACCAAAAATGTTTTTCTGAACTTGCACCATTCTGCTGGATGAATACCAAGGTAGGGAGTTTCTGCAGTATAGTATAACCCAGTTTCTGGAATATTTTTATTCTTTATCTGTTAGTAAAGAGTAATCTGGTTAAGTTGTCAATCACCATTTATCATCATACATATTAAATGTTATTAAACTTCTGTCTTTTGTTGAAATTAAGCTTATGGTACCAAGAAACCATAAACTTTTCAAAAGTTATTCATTTGTTCAACAAGAACCATAGTACAGTAGTAATGAAAAAAAACAGTTTTAAGGTTAAGACAACAGAGTTTGGTAGAAGTTCAGAGATCATGTTACAAAGATAATTTGCTGACCACTTTAAAGTAAAGGTAGATATTTGGTTTTCTCACATTTATAACATAATTTATGATTGTAATAGCTTTTGTGGTGGTTAAAGTAATTTTTCATAAATCATTTATTGAAAAAAGCAAGAAATGTTTGAAAAATTAAATCTACTCGATAACTACAAAGTACACAAATCACTATATCGATTTTTATTAATCACTTAGAACATAAATGATGTTATAAAATGCAAGAATACAGAATACATTTCTTATCATTTAAAGTGGCTAGCAAATCATCTTCATAACTTGACATTTCAAATTTTCATTGCCTCAATTGACCTTCATCCAGTCTTCTGTTCATTATAAAAGTTTCATTTTTCTTTTTCATTACTTCTGCTCAGGTCATTTTTGATGAATTAACAATTAAAATCAACATTTATATTTTGTCATAAAATCCATGTTCCATTTAACTAAAATATTCTATACAATCTGTTTGCTATTCAGAATTCAATTAAAATGTGATTTTTACAGCTGAAAAGATAAATAATATACTGTATATATATTTTAATTATGTATGCTACATATACCGTTTGGTATTGTCACATTCCTAAATGCAAATAAATAATTGACGCACACCGGAACAATACAATAATAAACTTTCTACAAACCTATAACCGGTGTGAAATATGTTCAATTGCTTACGCTAACGATGTCTTTTTGGTGTTGAAGACATGATGATACATCTGTTGTGCATGATGTCTTTTGGTGTTCCAAGGAACACCAAAAAAGACATCATGCACAACAGATGTACCACCGCTTTATCCGTATATGCTTCAGATCCGGAGATATCTGCAGACCTCGTGAGAGCCAAACTCTTTGTCACAATGGCATATGTGGACCAGCTCAGATGGTTAGAACAGATAGAAATATGCAAAGCCTACAACTCATCAATTCCAAAGATGAAATCACCTTATCTTTGGCATGGCAAGCCCTAATACGGAAAGAAGATTCAAATTAAATTGACATCAGTACTTATAGTAAGTTAGAGAATGGCAACACGCATTTTCTTCAACTTCCAACACGCTCAAACAAATTTATTCATAAAAATACATAATCCATCATACAAGTAAAAGATCATTACGTAGCAACTGGAGTTTCGAGTTGGAAGACACGTGATTCCCAATGGAACTCGAAATACAATATTTGAAATTTCGTTCCAAAGACAGCGGGCATTATAATGGATTGTTGCAAATAGAACATAATCTGATGAAGGACTCAGTGGGATCCGAAAACATCAGTATAAGCATAAGCAATTGAACATATTTCACGCCAGTTATAGGTTTGTAGAAAGTTTATTATCCTAAATGCAAATTTAATATTTTCTTAATCCATTGTATTCTTCACTTTTGTCCTGGTTAAAATAAATTATGGCCTCCGGCATGTACTTCTGAATAGTGGACACCTCTAAATATTTAAATGGACCAACTTCTGTCCTGACAGTGTCCACTATTTGGAGGTTACATCATATTACATCACAATCAACGTAATTAAATAAGATTTAGTCATGTGTATGAAAATACTGATTCTAGGTGGAAAATTACAATACCAAATAAAGTTCTACACACTCAATATTAACTAAAGTGTAGCATATGATAAATCTACTTTTCAAACAGAGTATTAGCTTTTCAAAAATTAAATTCCTGAAGAGTAAGCTTATAATTGCAAGAGTAAGATTATACTTGATCTCTAATAATACTATAAAAACTATCGCATTTTTCAACAATTGATATAATAGGATATATTATGTGTTCTTTGAACATCATACTAATGCTACATTAAGAGAAATTTTACTGATAAGGGTTCAAATGAATGTCAATGGTTTCTGTAAACTTTTATGGGTTTAATTTAATGTATAAATTGTTTCCCTAGATTTGATGCAGGTGTGCACACAGTTGTTTTAATGGTTAAACTGTAAAATAAAGAATAAATTAATTTTAACTTCTCTTCAAACAGAATCCTCAGAGTGAAATTTACAATTAATGTACAATAAGCACATTTTAACATTGATAAAAATAAATTGCTGCAGTAAATGTTTTCAACCTTATTTAAAAAGTCCTCGGGCTAACAGAACTGCATCTAAGGTTCTAATAATTATGGAACAAACATTTTTTAAAATCTAACAAGTCTAATATGAAATTCAAATTATGGCTTCTGTTGATTTAGTACTCAAATTTGATTCCAATGCTCATGTAATTATGTGAGCACTGGAATGAATTTGAATACTAAAAGATAAATTGCTGGAGTAAAGGTTGTTTAACTTATAATCAATAATTGTAATAATATTCAGAATAACTGGAATTAAAGACTCAGCAGTTACAACAATATTCTGTTGTCATATTTAGTTTATTAAATTTGGATTAAACATTTAAATTTGTTAAAATTCTTACTTGTTCAATACACCAGATATATTCTTCATCAGTTTCACCTTTCCATGCATATACAGGTATTCCTCTCTTAGCCATTGCAGCAGCTGCATGATCTTGAGTTGAAAATATGTTACAGCTTGACCATTGAATCTATTAAATTATAAATGATCAATTATACATTACGCCATTGCTTTTTAATCAAGTTTTTCCATCAAAATAATTTTTTCTATAACATAACAATTGCAGTTATGTTATGATAAAAAAACTATGTATTAATTTATGTATTAATACTTATATAGTAAAAAAACCACCCACTTTTTTGAATAAACAATTTAAAAACAAAAAAAAATTTAATAAACAGACCTTTTCACACATTTCCAGTAAATTTGCTATAGAACTTGTTCCAGAATGTTTCTCTTTCAAAAAAGTGTTCCAAATTGAGAAGTTCAGCTATAAAATCTTCAAAAGAAAGCCTGACACTGGCCCCTAAATGAGGCCAAAAACATTTGCTGTATGTGTATGTATATAGTGAAGTTGCTGTAAATATGTAAAAAGGTCTGTATACTATCTATTTATACATAAGTTCCAGCTAAGAAGAATAAGTTTTTATTTTTAAAAATGCATAATTGGAAACAGTCTGTCTTTCTTTATGGACAAGTCAGACAAGACAATGAATCACATTTAAGGGACAAACAAACTGTGTTGGTTGTATAATAACTGACTTAATATAAACACACATAAAAACCTTTACTTGACCAGTAAAAAATATATTTAATGAAAACAACTAACGTTTTCGACTGCCTTCCTCAGGTTTTAAATTCTGATATTCGAAAATCGTTGTGCTTAAATATTTAAACATTTTGGAACATATACATCTTTGCGTATAAAATTCATTACGCGCATGCGTATTAATCATTACGTACGTGAACCCAAATATTCACAAATATTATTTTACATATACCTGTAAACGATGTATAACACCTTACATAGAGTTGTGGGGGCATTCTGCTTCATACGCAAACCTCCAAGCTGCCGAAATATTAATAGCATCCTTATAGTTGATACAGCTATTACGTAATCCTGCTTTATAAATTTCCAAAGTTTCTAGCGTTCGTACGTGTTCTCTTCTGTGTGACATTTTAATGATTTGCGCGTTCTGCAAGTTAGCACTTATGCCAGGGGTCGAAGCATACGTAGATAGGGCAGTGGTGCATCTGTTGTGTTCAATGTCATATTTGTGTTCGCGCATACGTTTATCCAGAGAGCGTATGGTGGAGCCAATATATA